GAGGAGGGGGGGTGCCCTGAGTTGCAAGGGAGGCTTGGGTTCGAACGAGGGGAGGCCCCCCTTCTGAGTTGCAAAGGGTGGGGGGGTTCAAACCAGGCCCCCCTCCCCACCTGTGCGCGTCGTCATCGTCGTCGCCGGTGGCCGTCGCCGCCGCCGCCACCGCCACCGCCACCGCCGTCGCCGTCGCCGTCGCCGTCGCCGTCGCCGTCGCCGTCGCCGTCACCGTCACCGTCGCCGTCGCCGTCGCCGTCGCCGTCGCCGTCGCCGTCGCCGTCCCCGTCGCCGCCGTCGCCGTCATCGTCGTCGTCGTCGTGATCGTCGTCGTCGTCGTCGTCGTCGTCGTCGTCGCTGCCCGACGGCGCCGGCGCCGGCGCCGGCGCTCGCCGTCGTCGGTTGCAGGGGGGCGGCCCCTCCCGTTACGAACCGCATGTTTGACCGATTCCAAACGACTGGCACCAAGTACATCGGACCTGGCCCCATCTAGACCGGCGAAACATACAACAACCAAGATTGAAGGGGAACTGGGACACACAAATAAATACACACAAATAAAAAATATCCCCCATATTTTCCCATATTTTCTGGGTTTTTGTCTTCCCCCCACTTCCCATATTTCCCCATATTTTCTGGGAATCGCCGATTAATTGTGTCTGTGTGTTTTTTTCCCTCCTGAAAGATGTACACACTCCAACCAGCCATTTTGAGGCGACAATGGGATTCTGTGTGCACGGAGCACCAGGGTTCAGAGAGGATTCGAAAATCAAATGAACGTATCCACGGTACAAAAATTGACATTCATTCTGGGGAACAACATGAGCGCCCCCGTCGGAAGTGGTACTAGTTTACTGTCCGGTATAACGGCGGCTTGTTGTGTTGAAACTAAACAGTGGTCGTCAATTTTACTGAAACTTCATCGCTGGTGTATGTGATCCGGATTGCTGTCGTACGACTGCGTAAAGCTTCGCGTTACGCAGTTTTCATGCGACAGCTGCGGTAGTTCCATCAGCGAGCACTACACTATCCAAAAGAAATACGGATCTGCACCAAACATAACGCAATTCCGCATGAAAGACAATGGCGCCCATATGAACGCTTCGGATGTCACTTCAAACCAAAGGCAGGCCTCATGTGCGCAAGGGGCGAAAACGAGCTGCTACCAGCATCCAGCAACATTATATCCGAGCTATGCGAAAAATATGTGAGCGTAAAAAGCATCTCGCTGATCCCAACCTCCCGCAACATTCTGCAATACCCAATGCGCGTTTCACTTAGAATGCGCGCCGACGTATTAAATCTTATATGCGCTTCCAAAACAACTTCGACTGGAAATGCGTTGATCGCGGCCCCCCGCTGCATGCTTTAACAGCTTACGCAGTTACTTGAACATGCATTACATCGGGAAATGGGCCCGAATGATTCGGCGGCGGCGAAAAAGTGTGGCGGGGGCCGAACGATCCAGCGGCGGCGGCGGAGGACAAGGCGACTCGTCCGGCCAACATCTGACCCCCCTGGTCTCGGGGGCCCCCCGAATCTACCAGGGCGCGAAGCGCTTTCATTGAAAGCGTCGCCCTCTGGGGTTCGGAATCCCCAGCCCGCAGGATAGGAGGCGGGACCGAGAGATTCGGTGGCGGCCACGGAGGGAATAGCGACCCGATCGGCCCCCCTCCTCCCACCCCGTGGGTTCGCCACCCCCCCCGCCCGAGCTTCCGAGGGCACGAGACGCTTCTATTGAAAGCATCACCCTCGGGGGCTTGGACTAACCTGCGCCCGCAGAAAGGGACTCGGCGGCAGCGGCGGGCAAGGTGACTTGTTCGGCCCACTTTCCCCCCCCCTGGGTTCAGGGCCCCCGCGAGACCCCGGCGGCGCGAAACGCTTCCATCGGAAGCGTCGCCCTCGGGGGCTCGGAAAACGCTGCGCCTGGAAAGGAAGGGGCGGGGACCGACCGACTCGGCGGCGGTAGCGGGCGCCGAAGTGGCCCGTTCTGCACCCCCTCCGCCCCCGCCGGTCCGGCGGCCCCCCGAGCCCCCGAGGGCGCGAAGCGTTTCTATTGTGAGCATCGCCCTCGGGGGTTTGTTTGGAGAGACCCGGGCCCGCAAGACATGGGGGCGGGGAGCGAGCTATCCGGCGGCTGCGGCGAAGGGCAAACTGACCCGTTCGCCCCCCCCTTTCCCTCCCCACGGGTTCGGGCGCACCCCCTCGAGCTGCCGAGGGCGCGAAACGTTCCCATTGAAAGCATCGGCCCAGGAAGGGATCCGCGCCGCAGGAAGGGGCACGGGGGCCGAACCACTCGGCGGCGGCGGCCGAAAGCATGGTCACTCGTTCGGCTGGGGGGCCGCGCGAGCTTCCGAAAGCACGAAGCGCTGCCATTGGAAGCGTCGACCTCGGGGCATGGAGAACCCTGCGCCCGCGGGAAGGGGCGCGGAAGCCGAGCGACTCGGCGGAAGCGGCGGGCGCGAAACGATGCCATTGTTGGCGTCGATCTCGGGGGTTCGGAGAACCCCGCTCTCGAAGGGAAGGAAACGGGGGCCGAGCGACTCGGCGGCGGCAGCGGGGGGCAAGGTGACCCGTTCGCCCCCCGTCCCCTCCCCCCTCCAGGTTCGGGTGCCCCCCTGGGCCTCCGATTGCACGAACCACTGTTTTGAAACCGTCGCCTTTGCAGGCTCGGAGGAGCCCGCGCCCGCGGGCAGGGGCGCGGGGGCCAAGCGGCTCGGCGGAGGGAGCGGCGGGGGGCAAGGTGACTCGTTGGGCCCGCCTTTCCATCCCCATGAATTCGAGGGCCCCCCAAAGCCCGAGGGCACGTGGCGCTTCCATTGGAAGCGTCGCCCTCGGGGGCTTGGAGAACCCCGCGCGCGCGGGAAAGGAGGCGGGGCCGAGCGACTCGGCGGCAGCAGCGGGGGACAATGTGACTCGTTTGCCCCCCCTCTCCCTCCCCAATGGTTCGGGGAGCCCCCCCCCGAATATAGGGCGCTTTCAATCGACGCGCTGCCCCTCGGGGGCTTGCAGACTCCCGCCCCCGCGAGAAAGGAAGCGGGCACCGAACGACTCGTCCCATTGGCTGTGCCGGTGACTGGGCGCATGCAGGCCTCTCTGCCCGCCAAGTCTACCCAGCAGGAACATGACTGCCTGAGTCGGCCGCGGGGAATGTGACCCGCCCTACACCCTGCGAAATGCTTTAGAAATCATGGGTTAAGAAATTCATAATCTCAGAATTTGAATAAAAACCCAGAATGTCTATTCAAATCTTAGGATTCACATTGAAACATTAAGAATAATCGATACTCTGGCCGAAAACTTGGGTTTCTTAAGCGTCGCCTAGAGTGTACCGGCACGTCTTCCACCAGCCCGCGGGACCCACCCACTTCCATCCGCTGGGGCTGGGCAAGTGCGCACTCGCGCCCACGGCGCGCCGCGAGGCGCGTGACAACGGAGCCGCCGCCGCAGCAGGCCCCCAACGGCGCAATGAGCACCGCAGTGTCACCCATCCGGGGCCGTGCGAGACCATGGTGCCTCAGCCGCGACCACCTCGAAGCAATCCCGCTGATCCTCCTCCTCCTCCTCCTCCTCCTCCTCCTCCTCCTCCTCCTCCTCCTCCTCCTCCTCCTGAGGAGCCTCTGAGGAACCTCTGAGGAACCTCGGAAGAACCTCTGAGGAACCTCACAGACCTGTCAGGAACCTCTAAGGAAGCTCCAGGGAAGCTCTGCGGGACCTCTGATGAAGCTCTAGTGAGCTTCCAAAACGGTTGGCATTGGTACCGTTGGCTTGGGCTTGGTAACGGAATGGTTGGAATACGCCCTAGCTGGTTGAGATTTGTCCCATTTTCGGATCGAGCCCCCCCGCATCTCAAGGGGGGAAGCTGTGCGCGTCGTCGTCGTCGTCGTCGGATGTCGTCGTCGTCGTCGTCGTCGTCGTCGTCGTCGTCGTCGTCGTCGCTGCCCGACCGCGCCAGCGCCAGCGCTGGCGCCAGGGGGGGCCGCCCACCCGGTTCGAACAGCCCCCCCCTCTTACAACTCAGGCGGAGGCCCCTGTGCGCGTTGTCGTCGTCGTCGTCGTCGTCGTCGTCGTCGTCGCCGTCGCCGTCGCCGTCGCCCTTGATTCGAACCCCCTCCCCCCTTGCAACTCAGGGCCCCCCCCCCTGGTTCGAATCCCTTCCCTTTTGCCCCTTCGGGGGAGGCCTCACCCCCGTTCGAGCCCCCCCCGCTGAATCGCAGGGGGACCCCCCCCCCGGTTCGACCTTCCCCCTTCCCAGCCGTCCACAGAAGGCGCTCGTTCACACGTACAGACGCCCCATACGATGAGGGCATTGAACAAGTACAGTCGGGGCGTTGACTTAAGGAACCCTAAATAAGGAACGAGGCCCCTTGTCTTCCATAAGGTAAGCTTCGATTTCCCATGGAAAACCAAAGGAAAACCAAAGGCAAACTGCGAAACAATTAAGGAACACAGAGCCCCTTCCTAACGCCAAGTGTTCCTTCTTCAGCGCCCCGACTGTAGCCCGCGGATCTGGAATTCAGAGTCTGCAAGCCAGGGGGGCTCCAATCGAGGCTTGGCCATGGGTGTCACCGCCGCCCTCATCAGACAGGGAACCCACCAAGGTCTGGGGCCTCCTGGGCACAGTGATTAACCAACGCCCCGACCGATGATGTATGTAACGCGCGTGTGTGTAAATATTGTATATAGATGTGCGTACACGTACGCAGGTGTACACTGAAATGACACATGAGAGGACACAGTTGTCCTGGGGCACGTGCAACAACACCCGACTCTTCCTCATCCGCCTCCTATCTCCGTCCCCCAGCGGCATCGAGATCAGGCGTCCAACTCACAGGGCCTGCCCCTGGGACCCGCCGCGTCAGCCTTTGACCCAGGGCACCCCCCGCAGAACCCGCCCCGCCTGCTGCGGCAACTTGCACGGCACTTCGGCCCGCGCCGGGAGCCTCCCTCTGAGGACAGCCTGCCTCCCGTTCCTCCTCGTCGCCCTCGTCGCCGGCGGGGTTCCGCGCCTCTGCCCGCGGCCGGCGCGGAGGGCCCGCGGCCCTGCGGCGAGCCGGGACGGCTCGGAGGGAGGCGCGGCGCCGACGGGGCTGCGGGGAGGAGGGGAGCAGACGGCTGGAGGCCCCTGCGGGAGGAGGAGGAGGAGGATCGATCGATCGAGCTATCGGGCCGATGCCGTGGTGACTGCTGCTCTAGCTACGCTGAGTACCAGTGGAAAATTAGCTCGGCCTAGCTGAGTTCACTTTCTGCCTGGGGGAGCAGGCGCTAGAAGGCGCTCGGGCCCTACCCGCACCGTATACCCCACGCGGGGGCCTCTGGGCGGGGTGGCACCCGCCTTCTCGGGTGCCCTCTCGCCGGTTGCGGCCGTGCCTATTGCGGTTGCTTGCCTCGTTGCGAAGAGGAGGAGCGAGACGAGGAGCCGAAAGACAAGGAGCTACAGCTACTATCTGACCCTCTGTCGTTAGTGCTGCAGTGACCGCGCCATTCTCGTCTAACTCGAAAACGCGGATTGTCTTCTAGTTCTCTACCAACTGGCCGACTAGTTCTACGATAGTCTGCTGCAGCCAGGTCCGAGTAGCCGCATGTCCAGTCTTCAGTTTTTCGGTGACCAGGTCATAGACTAGATCCGCCACGCGCCCGGGAGTCACGTCCTTCTCATCCTTGTCTCCCAGCTCGTCCGTGGTGGAGTCGATGTCGTTCTGGCCCTGCTTCTTGCGATCGTCGTTCTCCTCGAGACTGATCATCCCGCCCCCTGGCTTTGATGTGTGGTAGTGCTTCGGTGCCTCGATTTCGGTGCGATGAGGTTCCTCGGGCACGTCCTGCTTGAGGCGTCTGCAGAACTGTTCGTAGATCTTCGTGTAGTCGTCCCCCTTCTCGGCGATCTCCGCGAGCATCTCCAGGCAGTGTTTCACGGACACGTAGTGGAAGGCGTACTCCTCGTTGGTTACGTCCTTCGCCTTGTGCATCCACCACAGCGGCTTGTTCGCGATGAGCTGCTTCCGCTCGTGCAATGCCTCCTTCATCTTTCGTTCGTTCTCCTTGTGGCTGTGCTGGTCGTCGCCGTCCACATCCGTCTCGTAGATCGTCTCGTCGGCGCCCACGTCCGTGACGGGCTTCTCGCCCGCCATGCGCGAAAGAAGTGTGGGCGGTTCGGTACCTGAGATCTCGTCCCCCGCCTTGCGCATCCACAGCGGCTTGTTCGCGGTGAGCTGCTCCCACTCGTGCAAAGCCTCCTTCACCTTCTTCTCGTGGTTGTTCTGGTCGTCGCCGTCCATGTCCGTCTCGTAGATCATCTCGTCTGCGTCCTCGTTCGTGAAAGGCTTCTCGCTCATGTGGTCTTCCCAGTCGTTGGACAGGGACTTGTAGTAGGGGGCGTACTCCTCGTTGGTTACGTCCACCGTCACGTGGCGCATCTCCATGAACTGGCAGGCCGTGCGCGCTATGTGTAGGCGTAGTCGTCTGTCAGCGCGCCGCCGCGCCTGGGGGCCCCCTTGCAGGGGGTGCCTCAGCCCAGGCGGGGCGGGCACTCGTGACGCGGCGAGAGAAGGCATCCATGTCATTGCTGCCGTGCGGGCCTTCCGCCCAGGTTACTATCTCCTCATGCTGAGTAATAGCTGTGCGTTCGCGTTTGCTGCCCTGACAATCTCGCAAGCCCAGATGGCAGCTGGAGGAGGAGGAGGCTCCACTGAGACCGAGGCTCCGACGGTCTGGGGAGAAACTCGGGGCAACCCCCTCACTACGAGAACTCGGCTCTCCTCAACAGGAGGGCGCCAGCGACGGCGCCTCTCGGCGGACGTCGGCGCACGGCCGTGCACTCTCCCAAACAGCTGCTGCTCTAACGCTCTACTTTGGGGTAATCAACGCCTGACCCTCGAGCTCAAGATAGCCAGCTGGCCTGGGACCTGTAAAAACAGTAGCTTCATCAGTGCCCTGCAACAAAGTGATTACAGTGGCCTCAAGGATCGGATCGTTGATCGCGACCATCAACCTACGCACCTTAGAATCGTACATTTTTTCAGTACGAAAGAGTTTGACGAGGAGCTGGGACTGGAGGCTGCCTGGCACAAAATTATCTAAAAACTTGCGAAGGATGACCTGCTGGGCTTCACTGGCACGGGGCATCAGCACAAGTACTACTCCGAAGAACATGAAGCTGTCGGGGGCGCCGAGACCGTGCCCCTTGTTGCCTTTCACACGAGGGAGGTATTCTTGCTCCTGAGCCTGCTTCATAGCACAGAAGATCGGGTCGGCAACCTTGAGCGTGAACTGGAACGTGCACGCCGCCTCGAGGAGGCGGTTCCTCTGGGCATTGATGACGCCTAACTTCAAGGCGAGGTCGGCCTTCTTTTCCACCGTGGTATCTTCAACTGCAAACTTCTTGCGCGCTTGGATGCCTGTGTCCTGCCCAGCTGCCGTAGCTGGTTTCTCACCAACTTTGCCGAAGAGAGCGGTCCACTGCTGAGCCGCCATCAACTGAACGTGTACCAGTGACTAGAGAGAACAGCAACAGGAAGAAATGGAACGACAGAGCCTGGAACAGCGACGGCGAGACAGCGTAATCCCTCATGGTAGACGAAATTCATAGCAGACACCCAATACACATACACGACACCCACGAAAACGAACAGGGAGGGAAAGGCCACAGCACCACGATACAATCAGGGGCACCGCTAGAGTTCAAGCATTTGGTCATCTAGGGGAAGGTGTTGTCTCAGGTGCCACCTTGCTTCGTCATAGTTGTCGAACGAAATCTCGCATATCTCACAGGCGTAGGGGGGAGGGTGCAGATGTTCAAAGACCACCGCCGAACCTCTGGACCTGGGGCAAGTACGATTCACGAGACTCCTGATCAAGCGTTCGCTTGCTATTCTCTTCGTCGAATACATGTTGCCACACAGAATGCACGAGTTAGAAACAGTAGCCACCCTGGCTAATACACGGTAACCATGATTGGGGAGCTTCGAGTTAGACTGGTGAAGGAGGAGCTGACGCCTGGTAGAGAACACAGCATCGCAGACACCTCTTTCCTCCCCCATATAGATGCCACACTCGAACCCAGGGGGAGGAGGAGGAGGGGGGAGACAACCCAGGGAGGCGGAAGGAGGTATCTGCTGACCTAGGTACTCGCTCACCATCGCCCGAGGATCGACGTTGAGGAAGGCATGTCGCACCTCTTCTTCGCAAAATAGCGACACTGGGCGCTCCTTAACACGAGCAAGTAACTCTTCGTATTCACCTAAGCGAAAAAGCTCACCTACATCTTCCAAAAACTGCTTCCACCACTCAAACTCAGGACCGATTCGAAATCCCTCTCTGTCGACGAACCTGACTTCCTGCTCCTCCCACGTACTAACTCCGAACATCGCGCCTAAGAGCTGGAGGTTGCGCAGCGGTCTTCTCACCACATCTTGCAACCACTTGATTCTTTGCATCCTCAAATTCATGGACACTGGCACCATCCTCAAGGTGCGAAGAACACTCGAATTCGTCATAGCGTGAAAGGTGATGTCTCCTGCCTCATCCTTCTCCTTCCCACTAGCAGCACCTCGCAGGAGCCGGCGAGCCATGCTCGCTTGCGAACTATCTAGCTTGTGCACGCTGTCGCTGAGCAACGCCAAGGCCGGCAGGCCAGAAGATAAGGCCCTTCAACAACAGAGCGGAACACAATCCCTTTCCACCTCCTGTTAGTACAATGTTGCCAGAATTGCTGCAGAAAGTGCCACTTTCTGCGGCAATTCTGCCTTGGGATTTCGCTCAGAGAGCTGCCGTCAGCTTGAAGGAAGGGGCCTAGATACCTGCAGCATCGCAATACTTTGCCAGGCATAACTTCCCCACTCCTCAGCCTCCACTCCCCACTCTCCGTGTACCTGCCTCCGAACAGCCTCCTCTTGGCGGCGGTGGCACCGCGGCCGCACAGGTGCACCAGGCTCTCTTGCTTGCTCGAATTCGCCTGGACGCTCACGATACTTAGTCTGTCTTGCAGCAAAGCAGTGTTTTGTTCATTTAACCTAATCAGACCTTCCAGCGATCGCACAAGCTGAGTTCTCGCCAGATCGTCGGCGAAACTCGTGAGCGAAATGTCGATCGGTCTATCCGACCAGGAGCAGAGCAGCAAACGATCGTGCACATCATCGGTCAGACAGTGTTTCAACCAGGGGAGCGTGACGCTAAGCCCAGGACTATCAGTACAAATAACCCCGTCAACGGACCAGTGGTATGGACCCAGGAACCACAGACAAGCTATATATCCCCAGGAAGAATGCCCGATCCTATACCCATGTCCAGGACCCCGTCGACGCACTCGAGACTGACGTGACCGTGCACCAATCTTTGTGAAAAAAGCCGTGCAGAAACTGAATCAGAATGCAAGCGGATGAACATCATCAGCATGTCGTGCGAAACGCTATGGAACGCATTGGTGGCATCGTAGAAGTTGGTGTTAAAACTCAGCCCAGAGGACCTAAGACGCTCTTGACATAAGCCCTGCACAAGGATTGCCCCTTCACGACGACGATTCTTTAAGTAACCATAAGCATAATGTCTAGTACCTTCGTAGGACAGAGAGGGGTTGGCCTTCCACAGGTACGAATAAAATACCTTCCCGAATGGATCTAAACTATGAACTAGACGAAGCCCAGCACAGTCTCTCTTGCCGTTGCCCTTACTCAAGGTGAACGCCTGACTACAGTGCCATATCAAGGGAGTCTCAACATGGAATCTCACAGCAACCAAAATCATAAATAAACAGTACCTAATCTGTCCTAAGTCCCAGCTCTCTCTCGTCTGTCCTAGTCCAGCTTTGGCTCTAGATTTAAATTCTTGGGGCCAAAACATCATTCTCCATGCGCCCGCAGGGAGGGCCCAAGACGGAGGCGCACGGCGAAGTTT